GGTTTCTATTCTGCACACAGACACTGCTCTACGTTTGGCAGCGAGGCACAGGCAGGTCCCTACATGCCTCACTGGAGCTCAGGAGGGCACCATGCTGGTCATCTTTGGGATCAGTAGGCTGGGCCTGCTTAGGGCAGAGAGAGTGCTGGGAATTAATTTCTTAGTGTCACCTGCTTCTGCTTTAGAAGAATGCATTTGTATTATAGCAACAGTGAAGAGTCCTTAAAGAAGTCATGAACACCGTTTGCCAGGCATTGTTCACATTCACAGCATGAAATTGCCTTTTAGGAACCTGTGCTTTAAATGTGGAAGGTAATCAGCATTCTTTGCTTGCAGGAAAAAAAGGGAGCATCTTTGTCGACAGATGGGAAATGAAGATAAATTATTGTATCAGCTGAGCAAAGTAATCCTGCAGGTCTGTCCAAAATGCAAGGATCTCTGTGACTGAAAGGCCAAGTAATTAGTAAGCTTTCCTTGGGACAGGGGGAAACAAGGCAGATACAGTCTTTCAGAGTTGTTTGAAAGTGAAGAAAATACAAGTTTAGGAGAACATGTTAGGTCAGTCTAATAATTGGAGAAAGCTTCCAGATACTGATGAGAGGCTTGACAGCAGAATGTCAGGAATATCAATCCAGATTAAACAGTCCTTGAGTCCACTTTTTTGCTTTTAACTTTCTCTTGAACACCTGTGTTTTTTCCATTAATTTTTTTGTAAGGGTAAAGTACAATAGAAAACGATCCCTCTGTGGCAATGTTTCTTCTCCTTGATCTTGAAGGTATACTAATTTGAAAGATTCTTGTATTCCTTGGCTTCCATAATTTATTTACTGCCATTGCTTCTGATGCTTGTAGAAAGACCATAAGAGTACAGTGAGTGATGGTGCATTGGAGGGACTGATGAGCTCCCAGCAGATTGTCTGATGACTGATGCCATGTTGCAGGAAACTTAGAGAAGCCCTTCAAATCATCAAGTACTTTTCCTTTTCAGGACTTGCCACTGCAGAATTTCAAGATTTCCTTTGAAAGATTTGTGATTCCTCTTTGTGTCCTGTGGGAGACCAGAGGCTGCTGTATAAAGCCAGTCTTTATGGGGATCCTTCCTGGTATCCTACTAGAAGTGCTACTGGAGAAAGATGGATTGCAGAAATACATATATATAGTGGGTGATAAATACAGGTGACAACAAATAAACATTAAAAAGAACCTGGTGTAGGAAGGCTACAGAAACAACTGAACCAACTCCTTCGGTAAAAATGAGGGAGCTCCATTGACTTGTTGCTTGTTCCAGCAAGCACGAAGTTTAGCTTATCACATTTTCTGTTTGATCTAAATTTGCAGAAAAGTTTATTGGAGACTTAAACTATACATCCAAACAAAAATCTTAAAAACTTAAAAATTTTACTGTTTGGTTTTCTCACCCCATTGGTTAATTTCTGTGCAAATACCTTTTTTCCATCAGCTGAGGACACACAAGCAGGTGAATTAGTATCCCTGAACTAATAAATTGTTTGGGTGGGGTCTTCAACTGAGAGAGGCAGAGAGCAAGCATGCTTTGTTATGCTCTTGAGAGTAAAAGGCAAATAAAAGGGGAGCAGGGGAGTCCTTCTCCTTAATGTTTTTCAGCCAGAGGTTAATTCATGTGGAGGCAGGAAAGGCATTTACCCCAGCCACCAGTGCAGAGGTTGCAAGCCAAAGCGGCCGCATGGTCAAGTGAGCCTGGACCTTTGGCTTGTGAACCTCAACCAGTTTTGAATGTAGGGTAGAATCCCTCAGCACTCTAAAAAACTCGCTTCAGCTAAATGTACAGAGGTTAGGTGCTGGACCTATGAGATGGAGAGCCTGAAGCAGCAGGCAGGAGCCACGTCTGCCTGTGGCACCCATCTCATGGCAAGAGCTGGAGCTGAGGAGAGCGAGGAGGAAGGGGCTGCCCGGCCGCAATGGGTGTTCCCCTCCAGCAGTGACCTGCGGTTCTTGGCAGCCCTGGGAAGAAAAAGGGTGACACCAGCCAGGGGAAGGGTTTCTTTTTTCCATACGTCAGCCAGCTTTCGGTCGCTGCTGCCAAAAATACAGATTTTATTAGTGCTGCAGAAAGAAACTCTGTTTGGGGGCCTTTATTTTCAATTCCAGTTTAATTCAAGTCGATACTGCAAAGCATGTTCGACTCTCCACTACCCTAATGCTGTTTCACAGCTTTGGGTGGAGTTGCCCTTGTGTGACAGACTAGAAACAGGTTCTAGATCTTTGGAGAGTCTAATTTGTTGTATCAGATTTGATGCATAAATGTGCAAATGATGTGGGTGGGGGATAGATGGGAGTAGGGAGGGGGAAGGCCTGGCATATGTGAACTGGTTTCAATAAGAGCCAGTATGAAATTTCATCCCCTTCTCAAGAAGAAACCAACCTTTTAAAAATCTTCCCCAGTTTTCCAGTCTTAAAGTAAATAAGTAAATAGCTCATGCTACCATTTGTTGGCTTCAAATGAAACCCAGAACTGAGGGGTACAAAGGAGACACAAAAGGCCATTTAATGGCTTGAGAGAAAATATTTCCAAATGGCTCAGGATGAGGTAAGGTCGGTTTTTCATTTCCCTATGTGGTTTTTATAGCAGGGGATAGCAACTGAAGAACTTTGTTCACCTATTCGTATGCTTGCTATATACCAAAGAGCTGTGCCATGTACTTGACTAAATATATATTTAATTATTAAAACTTTGCATTAGCTATAGAAACTCTTTTTGTTACTTTTTTTCATTATCTGAGCCAAATAAACATTGAAGAGTATCTCTCACTTTAATTTAGGATCTGGTTTGCAAGATAATTTAATTAAGTGTGCGTATAATTCACAGCACATTAAAAGTCCCACTGAAACCTATTTTTGGTGTTTTGCAGTTGTTTCAAAGTTGGTTTTATTTCTTAACACACCAAGACAAGCCAAGCTTTTTTTTTTTTTTCTTCTTTCTCATTTCAGCTCAAGTTGTGAGCAGGCGAGAAAGGCAATTTAAGGTTAAGTGGAGAAAAAGTTTACAGACTACTTGGGGAAAAGCTGAATTTTAAGTAGCAGAGGATGCAGAGGAGCAGAAGCACATGTGAGCTGGGTGTTCCTCAAGCTGCAGGCGGATGTTCCTTGCTGTATGTGGCCTACCCATGGGGCTGCTGGTGCTGGGCCAGGTCTGAGAGGCAGGGAGTTGAGGCAGTGCTTCATTAAATATCCTACCATCATACAGGGCTGGGCTGGCCTGCTTGACATGATAAAACTTGCAAACTTTGCAAACAGTCGTTAGTCATAGCATCCTAGGTGGTGACAAAAGTCAGATCTCCACCTGGTTGCCCATCTGGCTTGCCTCAGTAACTAAACGTCCTGGAGGAATCTTCCTCTGCTGTACCCCCCCAAAAAAATGATGAGGTTTTGACAGAGGGTTTGCCTGGATGAAATTCCATTAGGAAGTTACAAAGAAACATTTGCCTTGACCTTAGCTTAGTTGGAATACTTATTTTTAAGATCCAGCTTACTCAGAGTGTGGTCCTGCTCACTCTGGTATGAATAACTCCATTTTATTAAAAAGAAATTACGACTGCATAAATTAGAAGAAACTTGGATCCTGTGCCTTTCTTTCAAGAAATTGTGAATACAGTTTGGGAATTGACAAATATTTGGTATATAAATTGAAAACACATGGAGGAAACATTTGATCAGTTGTTATGGATACAATAATATTATAAATAACTTTTTTTCACTTTAAATAGTGGTCTAGATGAGGAAATACTTTATTTTGTTGTAAATCTATTAAGAGCAGGTTATTAAAATTAGTGCCAGTCTTCCAAAAAATCTAGAAGAAACTTAGCCTATGTAAAATATTTTGTATTTGAGGAAAATACCTAAATAACTCTGGAAGTTTAGGAACACTTTGACTGAACCTCTGGTCTAATGACCGAGAAAATGCTGCAAGATGAGCATTTAAAAACAAATAATTTTGTGTGTGTGTGTAATACAAGAATAATTAATTGCCATGTTAAAGGGGAAGGGATAAAACAATCAAGTAGTTTATAAAATGCAAATGCAGGGTTATGAACAGACTCCAAGAAAGCTCTTAGCTTCTTGTCCAGAGATTGCAGTGCAGAGCTCCTTTCCCACCAAGTTAACATTATGTCACTAACAAGAGTTCCTGGGAAACTGGGATACTTGCATGAGAAAATTTGTTTGAAAAATGTTCCAATTTTTTTTTATTTCATCAGCTTTTAATTGTGGAAATTTTCTCTCTTTACCTACTCCCTTCCATTTCCTCAAAATTATGCTGCCTCAAGCAAGTGATGATGATTGGAAACATTTTAACTTTGTAAAGTAGCATTTAAATGCGAAATTTTACCTTTAAAAAATAAATGACACAAATAGTTCTTTTAAAAAATAGAACTGCTATGCTTCCAGACAAGCATATTCCTGAAACACTTGCTTATCGTGTTTAGGGGGAGGAGGAAGCAGATGAAGTCTCTCTCTCAAGGAAAGAAAAGCTTGATCAAGTGGTAGCAGTTTCTTCAGCTTACAACAGATGGAAAGGTGGGTAGTTTTTGCATTGTTACTCATCTGTAGAAGACCAAGCCCTGTGAATGTTCATTTGATCTCTCCTGCACCGCTGTTCTTGACTAGCAGGTCACTGCTGCTTGGTTTGCCTGTTCAGCCCCAGGTTGAAAAAGAAAACACAATGTGCTGGTTTGGTTTGGCGGGATTTTTGGCAGCGGGGGAAGGGCCCCAGGAGCGGCTCCTGTGAGGAGCCGAGAAGCTGCCCCTGCTCCAAACCCAGCCCAGGAGCCATCAGAGGGACAACAGATGCGCCTCTGCCATTAACATACGAAAGAACTGAAATGAGACCTGAGCAGAGCGAGCACTTAAGGAAGTGGAGCTGAGCTGGAGCAGCGGTGCTGGGGAAGGAGAGCGGTGCTGGGGGTCGGTGGGGAAGAAGGGGCAGAAGGTGCCCAAGCACAAGTTTCCCTGCAACCCATGGCGAGATGGCAGCTGTGCCCGTGGAGCAACGTGCTGGAACATTCCCTGAAGCGCCAGGAGGGGTGAACGTGACCAGTAGGCTTGGATTTTGTGGCCAGCGGACTCTGATTTGCTGCCTGCGGACTCTGATGACGCAGCTGTGCAAGACCCCGGGCCTGGGGAGGAGATTGTTCCCGAAGCAGCGCGTGACTCCGTGGGAAGCCCGCGCAGGGAAGGGCTGTAGGGGATCCTTCCTTCTTCCTGAGGAGGTAGGAGCAGCAGGAACCACCAGCCTGTGAAGTGACTAAATGTGCCCTGGGTGTGTTTGATTAGTGTGAAATGAAGTTATTGTTGTTCCCCAAGTTGAGTCTGCTTTGCCCGGGACCTTAAGCGGTGAAGAGCCCTCCTTGTCCTTTGTCTCGACCCATGAGCTTTGTCCTCCTCACCCCAAAGTGAGTGTGTGTGTGTGTTGGGGTTGGTCAGTGAGCGGCCACGTGGCTGTTTCTTTGTTGTCCTGTTAGGCCCAACCACGACAAACACCAAAAAACTGAAGAAATTGCTTGGTAGAGTTGATTTCAGAAGCAGATTCAGTTGGGAGGTGCTGAGGGAGTGTTTCCTCCAGGAGACTTTTCGCATTGTTGAGCTGGACGTGGATGGTGCCTGCTGGCTCCTGCAGATACTTATAGGTATATATCTATATAAAAATACTCACCGATCGCATCCGACTTAGCCAGACCAATCCAACACAAATGACGCAGTAATTTTTTCAATAAAAGTAGTTGGTGGATTCGTAACATGGATGCCTTTGTGTTTTAGGCATCTGAGGTGGTGAGGCAGCGCTGGCGTCCCATGGGTGGGCGAGAGGTGCGCTATGAAAATTGAGAAGAAAAAGGGAGAAAAGCAATTGGGAGGTTTTCGCTGGAGTTTTAATAAGCCTTCTTACCACGGCCACAATGTGTAATACAAAAAAATGTGAAATTGCACATGTGCTTTTTGGTGCTATTGATATAAAGGTCGATTGAGGAAAAAAGGGAATGCCCCATGATTGTCCCTAGAATAGCTAACATGGACTGCCTTGTACATTAGGAAAAATAACTGTTTGGTAAAGTTTAATTGTATTGTGAATATGTCCCAAAATCTGCAGTTGGGTGGCTGAAGCAGGAGTGCAAGGACCTTTTCTAAATAGCTTGTTTTCAATCAACTCTTATCATCTGTGTTGTTTCTGTTTATGGTAGCAGCACTTCTATAGTTTTACCTTTTTGCCTTCACGTGTAAAAGGCTTCTGGTGTTGGAAAAATAATAGAAGTACCTGGGAGCTTGTGCCCTGGGTGTGTTTGATTAGTGTGAAATGAAGTTATTGTTGTTCCCCAAGTTGAGTCTGCTTTGCCCGGGACCTTAAGCGGTGAAGAGCCCTCCTTGTCCTTTGTCTCGACCCATGAGCTTTGTCCTCCTCACCCCAAAGTGAGTGTGTGTGTGTGTTGGGGTTGGTCAGTGAGCGGCCACGTGGCTGTTTCTTTGTTGTCCTGTTAGGCCCAACCACGACAAACACCAAAAAACTGAAGAAATTGCTTGGTAGAGTTGATTTCAGAAGCAGATTCAGTTGGGAGGTGCTGAGGGAGTGTTTCTTCCAGGAGACTTTTCGTATTGTTGAGCTGGACGTGGATGGTGCCTGCTGGCTCCTGCAGATACTTATAGGTATATATCTATATAAAAATACTCACCGATCGCATCCGACTTAGCCAGACCAATCCAACACAAATGACGCAGTAATTTTTTCAATAAAAGTAGTTGGTGGATTCGTAACATGGATGCCTTTGTGTTTTAGGCATCTGAGGTGGTGAGGCAGCGCTGGCGTCCCATGGGTGGGCGAGAGGTGCGCTATGAAAATTGAGAAGAAAAAGGGAGAAAAGCAATTGGGAGGTTTTCGCTGGAGTTTTAATAAGCCTTCTTACCACGGCCACAATGTGTAATACAAAAAAATGTGAAATTGCACATGTGCTTTTTGGTGCTATTGATATAAAGGTCGATTGAGGAAAAAAGGGAATGCCCCATGATTGTCCCTAGAATAGCTAACATGGACTGCCTTGTACATTAGGAAAAATAACTGTTTGGTAAAGTTTAATTGTATTGTGAATATGTCCCAAAATCTGCAGTTGGGTGGCTGAAGCAGGAGTGCAAGGACCTTTTCTAAATAGCTTGTTTTCAATCAACTCTTATCATCTGTGTTGTTTCTGTTTATGGTAGCAGCACTTCTATAGTTTTACCTTTTTGCCTTCACGTGTAAAAGGCTTCTGGTGTTGGAAAAATAATAGAAGTACCTGGGAGCTGTAGAAATATCGTCAGGACACAATGCTCTCACTGAATTGAGGGCACCAAGCATAAACAGTACTTTGTTTTCCAAGTTTTCCTGGATTATCTGACACCTTAATTTTTGTTAAGTTTTTATCCCGCGAGTGGAACAAACTTACTGCATCGAAAGGGATTCATTATGATCTCCATAGATCTGAGCCCCTGAATGCAGGGTGCAGGATGCACCTTAGTGCTTGCCAAGAATGCCATTCTCACTTGCCCTCTAGATTTATCCTCAGCTGTGGTAACTAGTAGACAAACACTAAATGTGCACACCTGTTCCTGGCTGCCTTGACTTGCATTTTACTGCTTTGTATTTAAATAAGTTCTAGATACTTTCCAGTCATATCCAATACATTTCTCGTTTTTCCAGAGCAGGTGAACTGCCTGTGGTAGCTCTGGCAGTTGTAAATAATTTTAATTGAATTGTTTGTTTAATTTGCTGCACATCTTTTGTGAAACCTGTTTGGTCCATGGAAACTGCAGGATCACTCCTGTTTCTTTAGCTGCTTCTAGCAGAAAAGTTTCTGAGGCAGCCAAGGGCACACAGCACATTTTCCACCAGCTAGAGGAAGCAGGCTGAGGAAGAAGACAGGCAAACCACTAATGAGCTAATACCAGTAAATAGGAAGGAGGAAGATCAAAGCAGAGCAGCTTGAAATGAAGGGCCAGGTGGACACCAGAAGGAAATGGTTAGCACTCTGTTGTTTTGGCAACAGGGAAGATGACTTGAGAGCAAACACGTGTGTACAAGGAATGCATCAACTAGCAAGATTGTGATGAATTTTTCATAAAGTAGCCAAATAGTATTGCACAATCTTGTAACTCCTGCTATACAAAAAGTCACAGCAGGAGCGCTTGCCTCAGTCTTGTCTCTGGCACTCCATGCTTCTCTTCAGGGAAGAGCTGTTAAACAGGCTGGGTGTGTGGAAGAAACTATTTCCTTCTTCCCAACCACTCTTCACATGTCCCAAGACCACCACAAAGAGGAATGTTTCTCTGGTCCTTGGAACAAGCAGCCCTAATCCTTCAGCCTTTTCTAATAAGCTGTCTTCCCCAGACCTCTTCTCATCGTTGTTCCTGTTCTCCAGGTTTTTTCCGTTCCATCCACATCCCCCTGGGATGATGATGCCCACAGCTGAGCTGCCTGCTTCCCACCACTGAGCCAAATGCAAGCATCTTGCCATGTGTTTTACAGATTATATTTATTTTTCCCAGAATGGTTTTCCATTTTTTCCCAGCAGCATGAGATTGTTGACTCAATATCTATGATTTAAATACTAGAGCTCAGTAGTGAAATGGTTGAGGGTTTGTTCTACTGTTGGTTTTGGTTGTTTTTTTTAACTTTTCTCAATGCTTTAAGAAAAATAAGAGAAAAAAGTGCTATAGGATCACTGGCACATTTAGTTTATTTGTCAGTTTTCTGGATTTAAAGGTTGAAAAGCTACATCCACAGAAGTACCTGGTGAGGTCATGAATATCACTTATGCTGTAATGGGCTATGAGAAGACTTGTATGACTCCCATCTTAAGCAGTATCAGGCAAGAAATTTATGGTTGACTTCAGTTTTGTCTGTTTTCAAAGACTGATTTAAATTGTAATTGTTTTTGTGGGTCTGAAGTCAGACCTCTGAAAGTGAAGTAAAAAATCTAGTCCTTATTTTCTGTTTGCTTCAGGGAAGCAAAGAGATTGCAGGCCCTTTGTTGTCCGCGTCGCAGCTGTCTGAACTTCTTTTCAGTTGTGTGTCAAAGCGTTTTTCCTCCTGTCAACAAATCCATGTTAAATTGAAGGCTCAGCTTTGTTACACATGCTTGAAACTGTTTTTTACCTTGCAGATCTACACTAAAGCCATTATGTCGCGACAAGTATCAAGGAGCCAAGAAGTCCTGCAAAGCTGTAATTTGTGTGCAAGCTAACATGCTTCAAAAGCATGGACAGGAGAAAAGGTATTTTTTTCTCATTTTTAACATAATTTGGAAACCAGTGAGTACTCAACGTCTTGAGACCAAACATATGTTAGTATGAAATAGCAAATTTGTATGTTTGATGCCCATTTCATGACTGCAGGCTAAAGAATTTGGACCTCACTATCTACAGTTAATAAAAGTTAAATTAAAGATAAAGTTAATTATTGTCATAGAAGCCACCAGGATGCTTGCCATGTTGGTTGCCTTTCAGAACATCCCAGTGAATGAAACAGTGCTTTCCAGTCATTAGACGTTTCCTGAATGCATATAACTACCTGACAAAGTTACCTGCCACTGAATATGCACTGACTGTGTAAATCCCAAGGTATTTATTCCTGTCTCTGTCAGTTGTTACTTTGGAAATCATTTAATACACAGACTGTATCTTCTGCACAGCCTGGAGTGGTAAAAGGGAGAAAAAGACAGAAAAAAAAAATCTTCCAATAGCTCATTTTCAGCTTATGTTTTGTGTTTCAAATAATTTTGTGGATGTTGCAACAGCTGTAGACTCTGCAAAGCAAAAGTGTCTCTCGATTTAGTCTGTGACATGATTTTGCTCATTCTTCTGCTGCTTCCTGAGCTCAGCATGTCCCATTGTTGTTTGAGAGAGATACTGAGTCAGCTGGCTGCTTTTCCAGTCAGCATTACTCTCACCAAGCCTTTCCCTACATACAGCAACTTCAGCTTGATAAAGACAAGTTTTTGGCTTTGAGCATTCATCAAAAAGCACCATTCCTCTAATGAGTATGTTGAACTGATATTTCTGATCCATGTCCAATTTGTCTCCTGCACAACACCCTTCTCAGTTTGCTGCTTTAATGCAGCAGGATCAAACATAATCAGACTTTCAAACAATACCACGTGGCTGAGCACATGGTACAGAAACCAGAATGTTTGAGAATTGCATCATTATCTGTATTATGCAGATGGAGCAGCTTATGAGAGAGAGCTTTATACCACAAACGTGGTGGTGGAAATTGGAGCTGGTCTTCTCGCTCCCCATCCTGCATTCTGGGCAGTAAGTAGGACAACAGCATGAATGCTTCAAGGCTTCTTTGTTTAGCTTTCAGGTTTGTTTTCTTTATTTTTTTGCTGCTTTTGCAGCTTATCCTTCCCTCTTTTCAACAGCCTACTCAAGGCCCATGGTACTCCCAGTGGGACCAGATAATTGGTTTTATCCCAAGTCTGCTCTGCTTTTTTTGCCAAATCTACTTCCCACTTCAACCTGGTCAGAGGAGCAGTGGTCATCGCCAGAGAAATTGAGAACAGGAGGCTGTAATCTCTTACCAGCAACAAGAAAAGTCTGTAGACAGCTTTGCAGCCATCATATCTGGAGATCTGGTGGAGACCAAACACTGTTGAGTATTGCCTATTCATGTAGAATTGTACTAGAATGGGTATTTCTAACTTAAGGGTGAAAAAAACCCTCCTAAATAAAGAATAGGTTTGGTTTAGTTCTTGGGACATTTAATGATGTACTGGCACATAGTAACTGCACTATAAATATAGTTTGAAAAAATATGAGCTTAGTTTGGAAGCTGCTCTCAGCTAAATTACGGGGTTTTGATCCTGACCTAAACTGATGCCACATGTTCCTGGATTCCCCCAGTGTTTGCACAGTAAATCAACCGTAGTTTTTGCTTTTTATTGCAAAGAATGAACAGAAGAGATTGGGAGTTATATGACTTTGACATCTGTTTATCATATGGTTTAGGATTGTTTGATATCTTTTTAGCTTTAAGGTTTAAATAAAGTTTAAAACAGGTATATAGGATCAAAACTAGTTAGCTGACATAAGTTTAAAGATTGCAGTCTGAGGTTCACCAGAGCTTTCACTTAAAAAATATTCAGTGCCTCTGCAGAGAGGAATGCTAGTACTGATCTCACAGGTATTACTGCTTTCTGCTCACATGTATTGCACGTTATTGACTCCATGAAGAAATAGTGCCATAGCGGTGAATAGTAAAGAAGAAAAACATATAAAGCAACTTCCCTAGTAATTATACCCACGGCTTTAAAGCAAAAGCTGGATTATGCTGCTTCTGCTTTGAATAAAGTGAATGTTCAATATTTCTTCTTTTTTTCTCTTCTAAGGCCATCTCTTCCTTCTTTGCTCCTCATACCAATTTTAGTGGTGTTACTATAAGCAAGCATCTGTTCTGCAGTGTGGATCTTAGCCTTCCCACCTCAACTCTAAAGCTCTCCACATTTCTGTTCACAGACACATTTTTGTCTTCTGATTCCTGCTCTCCAGCCTTTCTTATTCTTAAGATATTTTGGGTTTTTTGGGTTTTTTTGTTTGTTTTTTTGTTTTTTTGTAGTCTGTACCTGGTAACTTCTTCCTATTCTTTCACTTATTTTTTGCAAGTTTGGTTTTGATTTTTTTAACTTGAGAGTTGGTACTTGGATTATTTAATGGTAGTACTGAAGTATGGCTACAGTATATTCTTGAACTTGGCTTTCCTAACCGACTGACTTTCCCCTCTGAAGCATTAGTCTTGCAGTATGATTTTTGTGAAGCTCACTGCCCACACAAGTCTGTTGCCATGTGGGCTGTAGAGTCAGCTTGTCTGTAGTCTTACTCAGTAATTACCAGGCAATAAAAGTTAACTGCCCCATAAAACCACATGGAAGAACCATGCTATTGCTGGCTTGTGCTAGTCAGCTGTCCTCTTCCTGTGTGCTGGATTTTTTGGGCAGAGGAAAGGACTAGCCAGGGTCCCTTTTGGCTCTCTTCTCTGTGTTTCTGTGATAACTGGTGACCTGGTTATGGCCTGTTGAAGTCAGAGGGTTCAGAGGACTTCTGTAACAAACTGGAAGCCTTAGCAGTGGATCTGAACTAAACAGTTGCTTTTCTATTTACTGAGGGCGGGGGGGAGATAATTAAGTCACTCCAAAGTTATCCTATAATACTTGACTGTTTTCTAGATGCCTTGAAAAATGTTTCACCTAGCAATGCTTCAAAGCTAATCTGCAGCACTAAATTAGCTGGTGTGAAGATGTCTAACATGAAACCAAACAGAGGGCACCTGTGCTACTCACCTAAATTGGCTATGATTCAAACTGGCAGAAGTAGTCTTACTTCTCTAGCCCAGTCTATAATAGCTTTATGGAGAAATGAAAAATGTCAGATTAATATCCCTGTTGTAACTTGTACTTTGTACTTCTGTGGTTCTGGCATCTTTAATCATGTGTGCCTTGTGCCTTGTTTTTTACTTCTCAATGAGATAACAATGCCATTTATTTTTTTTTTCTTATATTTCTTTTTTTATTACTTAGTAACTGAGATTTCAGTCTTCCTCGGGGGTTGCAAGTGTATCTGCAAAGAGTTCCTGGGAGAATTGCGGAGAAGTTTATAAATTATACAGAAAGTTATTAAAATGGAGGGTGGGTGACTTGGGAGGGGAGGCTGCTGAGTTGTAGTCAGGGAATTGGTAACACTCCTAGGATGTCATTTAATCCATGTGTCTGCCCCAAAGCAGAGTATTTACACCACTATTTACACCACTATTTACACCTAATAGATGCTTGTCTAAGCTCCTGGAATTTCTCCAGTAATTGCAACTCTTCAGCTTTGTTAGGCAACTGCTTACCCTAATGTTAGAAAGTTTTTCTTAATCTTGAGTTCTGAGTATTCCAGGTTGTCATTTATGTCTCATCTGGATCCCAGATACAACCTATTTTGGATAGTGCAGAGGGAATTAAGCTTCCTTGCTGCTTGTTGCACTGATTTTCCAGGAGTGCAGAAGGAGAGATGCAACAATGTGAAAGTTACTTTAAGAACAAAGCAGTGGATTTTCAATCCTTTTTGTCACATGGATCATTATAGCACCAGCAGACATGTCAAGATCTCCCCGTTCCAAAAGGGATCTCGGCTAAGTGTTTTCCTGCACTGAAGTCAAAATCCTGAGCCTCCTGCAATGGCTGCACATGGCCATTCTGCTTTTAGTTACAAACCAACGAGCTGTTATGCAGAAATCTAGGCAAGGGAGCTGTGAAGGGAAGACACATGAGAATGCCTTGATTAATAGCATCCCTAAATGACAATGGCTGTTTTACAGTTTTTATAAGGATTGTTGTGTTTCTCATATATAAAAAGGGGCAAGATGTGGTTGTAATTAATAGAGAGGCTCTTTGTTGAAGCTGTTGACTATAGGAAAGAACCCAAGGGTTTCTCAGGCTCCTCGGTTGTAAAACTAACTAAATACATCTAGGGCTGCCTTGTATCACTACATGTCATCTTTCAAAGCTGTAATTAGCAGATACCTAATGAGTTGTGGCTACAGCGTGTGGATCAGATGATTCAAGTATTTACTTCAGGCCTCGGGTTCTCTCTCCACGCAAGGGAGAACAATTTGGTTTTAATATTTAGATTAATTTTTCTTAAGTCATATTGCTTCAAAACTTAATTGTTTTCCAACAGTTTGACAGACTTGAGTCCTCTCTAGTATCTTCAGCAGCAAGGTATGTCTAAAAGATGCAGTGGTGTGAGTCCTTGCTTCATTAAGCCTTTTATTTTTTTGGTAAGAAGTTTGCCTGAAAACCATATTTTCACTACTACTGGTGGAATGAGATGCATAAAATGCAGCTGGCCCTTTGGCAGTTACAAAGGACCAAAGGACAGAGTGACATTGCTGTCCTCCTATGCGTTTTTCAGCAAGATTGCAGCTGTGCTGTTGCTTCACAGTGGAACTTGGGAGCATAGGACTGCACCCCCTTGATGGTGGGTGGAAACAAATCAAGCCAGGCCATATTTTTAGCTGTTCAAGAGATTGAGTAACTCCACCAGCAGTGTAGGGTAAGACTTTATTTAGGAATCCAGACCCCTAACACATAACTGGCACAACAGAGTCTTCTACCAGAGACCATGAATCCTGAGGCCAGTTGTAAGTTAAGATGCATTTTGGTCTTGGGAGCTCAGCCCAGTGTAAACCCTTTTTTTTTTTTTTCTTTTTTTTGGTGCTGTCTTTGCTTTCTCCCTCCCAAACTCTTTGCATTTACCTGTCTGTGATGTCTGAAGTGCAAGGCAGACAGGTTTTACTGTTATATTGTGACTGTGGAAGATCTTTTCAAAATGACCCACTGCAACAGTCAGCATTAAATGGTCACCATTCCTTAATGTCAGATTATGCAGGGCCTGTTGGTAGCACAGCTATTTGCTGTTTAGCCTTGGAGAAATATAATGTGGTAGGATTGTGGAAAGACTGAAAAATCAGGCTGTTGCTGTTCTTTTTACCTAGATTGGGTAGTACTAGATGATAGTGTAACTATTTTATCTAGGATGGAGTGGTTCTGCTTGAAAGACGTGGATGTGACTGTGATGTGTCCGTGGGGCAGCAGTGATTAAATAGGAACATGATTCTCTAGCCTAGATTGGGTGAGGTGAGCAGCAGCACACCCTCCTGTGCTTGGGTGCATGTTGGAGTCCGTAGGTCCAGAGTAGGTAAGGGATGGCCACAGCTGTTCTTCCACTGATGTCATTTTGGACAATGCTTGTTAATGCTTTACAATGTCAGGGAAGGAGTTGTTTTCAGAACAGGAGTTAGTGTGTCAGATTGAGCTTCCCATTTTAAAGCCTTACCAGTTTTCTTAATTTGTGTTATAGATTCATAGAATGGTGTGGGTTGGAAGAAACCTTAAAGATCACCTAGTTCCACCCTTCCCTGCATGGGCAGGAACACCTCCCACTAGACCAGGTTGTTTCAGGCCCCATCCAATCTGCTCTTAAACACTTCCAGGAATGGGGCATTTACAACTCCTCTGGGCAATCTGTTTCACTGTGTCATAGTGAAGAATTTCTTCTTAATGTCTAATCTAAATCTCCCCTCTTTCAGCTCAAAACCATTCCTCCTTGTCTTACCACTCCATGGCCTTGTAAAAAGTCCCTCTCCAGCTTTCCTGTAGCCCCTTCACATATTGGAAGGTGCTGTAAGGTCTCCCTGGAACCTTCTCTTCTCCAGGCTGAACAGCCCCAACTCTCTCAGCCTGTCTCTGTAGCAGAGGTGCTCCAGCGCTCTGATCATCTTGATGTTCTTGGTGTTCCTTCCTCAATCTTTGCTTTGCCAGTTTGAAAACTTTGAATATTAGCTGTCACAGTAATATCATATTGCCTGTGTTTGAGCTGACCTTGGTTCAGAAATTCCCTGTTGTTCCCTGTCCTTGGCCACTTCTGCTGTAAAGATTAAATATTCAGGTAAGAATAAAATATTGAACTAAATAAAATACAAATATATTTTGGTTAGCTATTTTTCTACACAGCTGGTTGTTCTTGAAAACTATTCAAAGCCATTCTTTAATAAATAAATAAGAAATTACTTCAGATGAGCAAACCATGGTACATCTAGATACCTAACTGCAAATAGTGTATTACAAGCAACTTATAGTGCATGTACCTGAAAGGGATTTTAGTCCTGGAGTCAGTGCTTTTCCATATGTATCAGGGAACCAGAAGTGAACATTCAACTGTTTTGAATAAAGAAAAAACAAGTGGGGGGAAGGTTAGTCTGTGCTGTGAGAGGATCTGTTTTGTAGCAGTCATGGTTGTCACAGTAAACATGATTAATTTGTTCTTCATCGTCAGCCACTCTTAATTCTTTAGATGATGGCAAAGATGCACAGGGAGTGAGCTTCGTCCTTCTGAAAAGTTGTGGGTTTAATCAGTGCCAATCTCAGAGGTACAGGCAGTTGTCTGAGTCAGACGTGAGCTGCAGTCAGACCAGTAGTCATTTTCCTAACACTGATTTTTAATGTGCCAGTCTTAATTTTCCCTCAGCCTAGTTCTATTTCTTTCAGTTATGCAAATAAGAACTACTTGTTCCTTTATCAAATTTGCCTTAGTCTGTGGACCCTGAGTAATTAATATAAATTATGCAATTTGTGTAAGGTAGGCATTACTTTGTCTCCACGTTTCCCAAAAATACATAGGTAAGTGCTAACATCTTTGAGTCTACCCTCTCGCTACCATCCAAGCTCATATAAATCACTTTTTATTTTTAAATTTATCTTCATTTTTTAATAAACTTACAGAGAAATTACGCCAGTGGGTGCTGTAAGGCGTGCATAAATAACATGGTACTTAAAACATGACTGGTTATCCTCCACAGATTTTCTCTTCTGTTGAACCCCTGCTCTCCTCCCTTAAGGGCAGTATTGATTCGTTCTTGCCAAATTGTTGGTTATTTTTGCAGTCTTCTATCTTGTTTATCTGGAGTGACATCATGTGCTTGCCCATTAATTAGCAAAATTACTTAGATGTGTAGTAGGTCTGTCAGAGGCCTGGGCATTGCTGGATTAAGTTGCATTCCTGTCTCTGCTCTTTGGATAGCTGTCAGGTAACAATTGTACGTTTGGGGCTGTATATCACAAGCGATCATGAAATCTGCTGATTTACACAGATGGTCAAAATGGGCAGGCAAAGTTTTGAAATACAGTGGTTGTCCCTTCTCTTTAGGGTATTTTATAATGGGAGTTTGAAAACTCGCTATACTGGATGTTGAGTAATGTAGCTGTCTTTAGCAGAGTTATGAATGACACAGTCAATTTATCTAAGCTGACAAAAATAAAGGACTTACGGCTGTGCTTTGAATTGACATATGGGGGTTTGGCCAGTCTGTACTCAAAAGACAGAAAAACAAAATTCCCTGTGTTGGGAAACAGGACTTGCTGCTGTTTTGTTTGAGTCTTAAGTGCAGTATCTGGAGTCCTGAAAATAGATACGGTGATCTAAAGTGTTAAACACACACATGGTCTGGCATTTCAAACGCAATTATGTTATAAAATTGAAATTAACCTTTTGCCATACCCCAAAATGACATGACTCTTAAACAATGACAAGGGTATTAACGAAAAGTGTAGATGATTACAATTCACAAATAAACCCTAAGGTTATATAAATGCCCGGGGGACACTGCAATTGCATCTGGTGGCAATGCTGGAGCCAAACACCTACTCTCCAACATACTCTTCCAGTTCTGAATCTTCAATCATTAATATACTAGAAATACCCTTTCTAGTATGGGAAAATGACAGTGGTCTGCCATATAGTCTAAAGTTTTTGAGATGTGGGGTTTTGGGGGGTTCTGTCAACCTTATGCAAAGCTTTATAACTTAACTCATGTGACTGATGGGAACTCAAGTTTTTGTGAATCAGAAAGTGACACAGTAATTTCTGCTAGTAAGATAACCTGCCTTGGCTGTCAGTCAAGCAGATCTGTTGGTTGTTTTCAGACAGTTTTTAATGGACTGAATTAGAGGACAATGCCTCTTGGCAATAATCTTCTTGCTTTAAAGATGTTTGTAATTCTCACTACGGAATTTTAGCCGGAATGATCTGTTTATTATCTGTTTAAATTAATGAGAAAATCCAGAACTGAAACAGGTAATGAGAGTCAATTAATTTCTTCAAGCTATGGGCAAAGTAATTCCCATCAGAATAATTTAGGTTGTCAGCCTGTGGTCTGCAGCTGAGGGACTGAACTGCATGGTGTTATTTGCAAGTGGGAACACAACAGTGTAAACTGCCTGAGCATCCCAACTTTCTAAGTAAATGGGTATGGGCGGGCAAAGGCAGGAAATAGTGAGCCCAAGGGATACATGGTGTGACCAGACACTTTCCATTAAAGCCTTCTACCTCTTCATGAAGCCCATGGGCAAAAATAGTTGTAATATTCCATTCTTTTCTTCCAAAGAAGTGACTCATGTCTGGGATCCTGCAACTTTTCCTAAAAGGGAAAGACTGAATCTCCTGCAGTTGTAGAAGGACAGAGTTCAATTTTTTCCTCTTTTCAGACCAATATTTTTTAACTGAACAATGGCAAATAGTCTGTCAGTTTTCTGCCTTGAAATTCCAAACCAGTAAAACCAACAAAGCCTGTCTCTGAGTTACAAGGTGGGACAAAGATAAATGACACCGTTGTGTTTGCAGATGAATGGGTGAGTTGACCTTTAGGTCTTTTCAACTTGCTGACAATGGCTGATGTCAAACTAGTACTGAAAAAAATATAAAATTGCCTTGTAGTTTTCAGAATAGCTGCTGAACTGTTAGTGCAACACACTTGAATATTGTTTGACAGAATTCTAATTGTGAGGGTATGGGTATTTCTGCTGAGTGAGAGGAATGGGCTGCTTTCAACCTAGCATGCCAGCCCACTCTGACCCCCTTGCCAGCCCATCTCCCCTTCATAACCTTGGAAATGGCTTGGCAATTTCAACTGAATCTGAAGTGGGATTTTATCATCTTAATTGCCTGTTAGGTCTATGAGCAGGACAGAGGGAAAAGATTCATGTTGATGCCCATGCTGACAGAAGCACCATCAGAAACCCATCAGTTACCTGTTGGATTTGACAGGAGCTGCTGGGCCAACCCAGGTCTCCAGATTATCCACTGCAGGTATCTGCAACTCAGGCTGGTGAAGGGGAAGAGCAGATGGCTGGGATTATTGTCCTGCAAGGAGATTTAGGGGACAAAGGGCAGAAAGAGATGGGGAAGCAAGTTCTGTTCATGGGATAAACTTCTATTATTGGAATGGCAGGGCAGCCCCACAGGTCACTTTCTGCCCTCTCACCAATCCAGTTTTCAAATTAGTATCAGTTTGGCCTTTTTTGGGCCTTTCAGTGGGCTTCTTTTTTTCTTAAACTGCAGAAGACTGATAATAATTATGAGCAGGAATTGTAGGAGTTTTCAATTTATAAGACATTTATTAAATATATATATGAAAGTGGTATGAGGGCATAACCAGTCCCTTTGTACAGCTTGTGGAGATAAAAATGTAACTGGACTGGTATTTTACATTCTATGTATATTTTAATGTCCTTACAATTTTTCTTCAGTTGACTTTGAAGTTGGTCAGAGGTTTAAATACCAAGTAGCTGGTTTTGGACCAATATTCCAAGATACATCAGCTGGCAAAGATAACATAATAGATTAATTTCGTAGTGGCATGTCACTGGAGAGGGGACATAATTTTAAAAAATAATACGAAAATCACCATGCATGGATGTTTTAGACAGATGGGTGAAAGTAGAACCAAGTTGCAAACAGTAAAATCCACTGTTGGTGCTCAGTTGGACAAGTGTTGGAGCTGATCAACTCTGTGGAAATCTAATAGATGCTTTTAATTGTTGTTCAGTAACATTTGGATTTGGCCACGGAGTAATTGATGGAGAATATTTACTCTGTGACGTGGTTTGGAGCAGTGTGTGATGCTCTGATGTTGAAATAAGACACTGTGAGACACAGAAGTTTCTGCTGATGAGTGAATTTGAACTTTCAGCCTGCCTGGGTTTTTTTATTTATTTGTTTAGGGGAGGGGAGGAATACTGAAAAAATTATGCATTACAACAGTGAACAGTTGGCTGCAGCTCTCATCAAGAGACAAAGAAAGTCATGCCTGATGACTAAAACAGACAGCAGGTTGCAAATTTGGACTTCATGATGCATTCCACTCAGTAACATGAAAAACAGGAAATATCTTGCATGTGCTGCCTTTGGGGAGCAAGAGAAGATATGGAGGTCAAGCATGGCTTGACTATGTTTGCTGATAAATCTTTTCAATAGTAGGCTGATTTTTTTAATTTTTTTTTTCCTCAGGAGTGTGGTATTGCCTGCAAATCAGTAGGAAGATCAAACAGCCTTTCAGCCAGCTGCTCAACATTGGTCACTGCCTTTGGAGAACGATGAACCCATCAGCAGAGCTGAGTGCTGCTGTACATCACCCAGCACATGCCAGAGGTAAGCTGCCAGTGACCTTGAGCACTCTGCTCACAGCGTTTGGCCAAGATCAGTAATAATGTCAATCCCTTATCTCCTGGCACAGTCCAGCAAGCTACTGGAGTCAGGAATGACTCTGGAGCAATTTTTATCTGCTTGTGTTTGAAAGCACATGTAAATTCAATCCAGAGAAATCACTGCAACATTAGAAACCCCTGCTCTTGTTAGGACTGACAGAGCCCTGCATCTGTATTCCTTCACACTCTTTTTGGAAAAATAAGGTCGCAGACTCTAAGAGGGTGTTTTTCTTTTGGGTATCAGAATTTGAGCAAGTCACTGTAGAATAATTGTGATCTTGATGCTGTAATGAACACAGTGAAATTGTAGGGTTTTCTTTATAAATCCAAGAAAAGCTGTAAAAAATGGCAACTTTACAGATGCTACCCAAATGCATAATATAGCAAATTACATTGTGGTTCCTAATATTTTGGCTGCTATTGTTACTATTAGAATGTCAAGCTAATGTTGGCTCCCTCTCAGGTTGCTGAGGAGCAGGATCCTTGTTCCAAACACTTGTCATTTAAAAAAGGAAAGAGTAGCAGTGAAGGAATAAGTTTCATGCAAAATGGCAGCTTCAAAATGTGTGCAAGAAAAAGAGGACAAAAAGAGGGTGCAGGTTTTTTCCTCCATTTCCTGAGAAGCTTAAGAAAGCTATTTGTTTATTTTCAAATATGTAAGCTCTTTTTCCTGAGTTGTTTTTGAATACTGTAATAATCTGTGAGGCTTAGAAATACCAGGGCCAGAGTAGAGACAGGACCTTACCTATGTGTACATAGGGTTTCAGCCAGCTGGGACTAGAGACTTACTGAAGCAGCCAGTTATTTGCTGAATTGAACTTTATTCCAGCTTCAGCTGAAGTCAATAACAAAATTCAGAATAATTTCAACATTATAGGTTAAGGTATTCAATCCCTGGTTTAGAGTGCAATAAAAATTTACTGGAAGCCCAGAGAATCAGCAAAAAATTACCTTCACAAGTCTAGATTTCCTCAGACGTCAGAACATCTTGTCACCCAAGAAGGTACAAATAAGGTTGTTGGTTTCCAAGCTGCAAGTTACTGGTGTGAGGAATGACTTGAATCAACAAAGCTGCTTGTGTATATACATATTTCTAGTCTTTAAAGAGCTAGCGACAAGGTAGTTGCTTGATAGATGCAATATGTTATGGGATCGCCAGCCAAATAACAGGAACATCAATATTTGGTCATGTTGTCAGCATATGAGCAATCTGTCCTCAAATTGTGTCTGAAAGCAGCAAAACCACATTTTCTCAGAAAATGTGCATTTGCATGTGCAGGGGAGAAAAATCTCTGCTGGTGATAACATGTTGTGGTCAAGCTTCTCAAAATTGCTGAGGAACTTCTGCCAGACAAACACGTGCTGAATATATTTTGTGAAAACTGAGCATGCTCTTGGCTGGTGAAGCACAGCCCTGATCAGACATGCTTATTCTCCAAATGAACTGAGAGAATGAATTTTGAGATTGCAATTCAGTGAGTTCAAACTTGCATTGCTCTGAGCAACACCAATAGGTTACTTAATGAATAGAATCAGTTGTCTTAATTTGAGCCCTTCAGAAAGAAAATGAGAAAAAAATTCAGTTAGCTCAGTAACATTGAAAATGCCTATTATTCTTATGCTTTGGTCTGCTTGCCATTTTCTCCACAATCATGTTGTCATTTTCCATTGAAAGTGTAAAGTGAACAACCTCCTGCCCCCCCCTTTTTTTTTCAGTCCAGTGAATATTTAGGAAGAAGAACTGAATAACTTTTCCATAAATCAGAAAGCATTAACGGTACCAGGGAGGAGGGATCTCCTTTCCCTTTGACAGAAGATTTCACATTTTTAGAAAGTTCTTTTTATATGTTGTGCTTTTATGGATTTCAGCATTCTATGAATGAAGTTAAAAGGCAGTTTTGATGTATGAGATATGTAATATGATTGAGGAAATTATCAATAGTACATTTTAAAGTGTTTAAGATGACTTTGACCATAGCAGTGTATGTCTTGTTAAACTGGCAAATTAGAAATGAGAGTCTATTTTTACCAGTTTAAGGAGACTTGAGAATTCTGTAAAATTCCCAAGCACATTTCCTAAATACCTCAGTGAAGTACAGCTGTGATGCTTTCTCTCGTATTATTTCTGAATCAGCCAGCATTTCTGTTTAAACCAGCATTTTCAGTCCTTTACAATGTATTTGAGAACATGCACCCAGGTAGGAGCTGACATGCAGGGTCACATCCTAGGAGGCTGTTGGAAAGATGGCTATAGCACAGCTTATACCTTTGGCACACTCACATGTATTTATTTATAAAGAGGGACATGATAGGCATTTTTCTGTGTACAACTTACTTGCATTTATAACTTACTAATGAGGCCTGGGGAGATTTCAGACTCCAGTCTCGTTCTTCCCACATCACTAGCAAGGATTATCTGCTCTTCTGTGTGAAGGGCAGCTGTTTTTTGTGGTTGTCACAGCTGGACATCTGTGGACAGGGGGTGGGGACACAGCAGCAGTCACTGCCACATAGCCAGACACATCTGGTACGTGGCTGCAGTCCTTTCCATTTAGGGGGGGGAGAAGGGGAGGGCAGGGGTGGGCAGTGCAGCAGTTACTCCAGGGTACAGTCCTGCACCACCCAGTCGTGGAGAGGGGCCCCTTGGAAAACGATGGCAAAGTATGGGCAGCAAGCCAGTGGTTTTCCTACTAGAACTGACTTTTGGTCTCTTTTTGCATGATACAAAGGACTTGGATTTATTCAGACATTTTGTACAAGGCCTGTTTTAGCTGTTTTGGAAAGCAATAAGGTTTACAATGGAACCACAGGCAAGAGACACCAGGCCAACACACAAACCCCAACAAATGGGTTTGGTCTTGGTGTCCAGGTGGCAATGGCTGCTGGGAACACAGCATGAGCCGCCTTAGCAGCTGTTTCTGAGCTCTGATACCACGTTGCCATCTCCTTTGGTTGGCTGGTTTGCTGGTTGTTTTTCTGGGGGAGATGTTTCGGTTTTTAAGTGTGCTGTAACCTCACATTTAAACAAGGCAGCGAAGGGGCTGGATGGTGGCAAAATCAAAATACCTACCAGAAGGCTCTAAAGTAACAAGGAGGTTGCAGTAGAAAACTTATTAAAAGTTGTGGCTCTTTCTTTTGTGGACATACATGAAGTCTTTGTGAAATTCTTTCTAGTCCTCAGGGATACTGACAAACAGGGTGAGCAGGTTCTCCTGCAGGTTGGGCTTCTTACACTTACACTGCTTACACTGCATCACTAATAGTAGAATCACAGAATGGTTTGGCTTGGAAGGAACCTTAAAGATCGTTTAGTTCCAACCCCCCTGCATGGGCAGGGGCACGTCCCACTAGACCAGGTTGCTCCAAGCCCCATCCAACCTGCCTTTGACCACTTACTTGTGGCTGTCCCACTTGGCTGTGGGACAGCCACAGCTTCCCTGGGCAACCTGTGTCAGTGTCTTACCACCCACACAGGAAAGAATTTATTCCTAATGTCTAAGTCTACCCTCTTTCAGCTTAAAACCATTCCCCATTGTCCTATCACTCAATTCATGTGTAAAAGTCCCTCCCCAGCTTTCCTGTAGCTCCTTCAGGTACTGGAAGGTCACTGTAAGGTCTCCATGGAGCCTTCTCTTCTCCAACAGGTCTGTGTCCTTGTGTTGGGAACTCCAGAACTGGACATACTACTTCAAGTGGGTTCTCATGAGTGCAGAGTAGATGGAGGGAACCACCTTGATCAATAATACCTGAAGTAATATGGGGTTTGATTGAGAATTGCAAGGCAGTTAAATCTTCACCTTGTGTCATTTGCTTCTTGTTTTGGTCTCCTATTCCATTTCTGGTACAGAAAAGTGTTTCCCTCCCTTTCCATGTCATGCTTTGTCAGGAGTCTTCTGGGAGCTGAAGTGAATTATATCAAATCCCTCACTCAGCAGTACTATTTTCTAAGCAATTCCCAGAGCTGGGAAATAAACGGAAGACTGTTACACAGCAAATGAAAAATCACAGCTTTCTTTTGTAGATATCTGAGACTGGAAAAAGCAGAATCATTAGCCTGTTCATAATGAGTTACCATAGGCTCCACAGTTACATATACTTCTATTAGACATACTATTAAGAGATGCTTCCAGAAGAAATTGATTTCTTCAGGAAGTTTTGTTTATGGCTTAAAAGATTATGTCAGCATCTTCCCACTCAGTTGTTACTGTCTTGAATGCTGCACTACAATTTGGTGTGTGCACACTGGAGTGCTGGTCATTGTTTTTATCTATAGTGGTCTGTCATATCTGTCTCACTTTAAGTTCATTTCTTGTTTGTCACTTTGTTACTGTATTTGTGATTGTATTTGCTGAACACCTACAGCTAATGATACAGAAGTGCCAGTCTTTAGGAATCTGACAGAAAATTCATCTTGGGATAAATGCTCCTGCATTTAGTAGAATCACACTGACCATCACACGTGCTTCAAAATGGAAGATGCTCTATCTATGTTATATTGTAAAAGGTACGGGCACTTCTACATAGATCCTGCAGAAAGGTTGGGTCCGTAAAGAAAGGCAAAGAATATTGCCAAAGTCCCAACTGGGATCCAGATGTTCTTGCAGGCTGGTGACTGACTTTCTGTGTGTTCTTTTGTTCTGATTTTCTTCGCTTGAGGTTCCCGAGGTGGGCAGAGTAATGCCACAACACGCACCCTGAGCTGCCCCTGCTAGCGTCACCTCTCACCCCCAGGGATTTGGGCTGTTTGGAGACCAGAAAGCAGCTCTTCTTCCCCAGAGCCCATCTGATCTAAGTGCATTTTGTCTTTAAGGTAAGTAACAGTTAAATAAGGAGCAAAATCTGAGCTTCTCCTGTAGCTTTTAATAAATTGTTCAGCATACAAGGGCAGATCTTCAGTGACACAGGCTTGTGTGGCTTAATTCAAAGCTTCATGGAGACCTGTGG